TTGTTGGACAAACGTTTTGTTGAATTCTTCCTGATGTCGTCACAGCGTTGGCGGAGGGCTACATGGTCGGGTGTACGCCCGCCCGTGGTTTTGTATACAGTTTTCAGGTGAGCATAGATACTGTACGGGAAGCGCAGTGATAGTTTATCGTGGGCCCAGGCGGGTTGCGTCAGAGGGGTAAATGGACTTGTGCTTACCACTGAGTCGAGTTGTATTCCCAGGCAACCTCCGAGGTAGTCCGCGAATGGTCGCGCGGGGAGCAGGCCGCAAAAGTGAAGTAAGTTTGTTTGATGTTTGGGAAACCGAGGCTATTTAGTGCCCGTGATGATGACTGCTGCTTGGACGAGTGCTGAGTTAAAGCGCTCGAATAGGGGGTCCAACGCATCTTTCCATATAGGCGGAGCCCAGGCAATAATGTTCAGCCCATATGTAGCCGTGGATAGGATGAATGTTTTGAACATCACCAGTCGGTTGCGGGGGGGTCACCAGCTGATGCCATGGAAGCCATAAGCGCGGAAAGAGGCGATACCCAGTGACAATGCTGCAACCAGGGATTCCATATGTCTAGCGAGGTTGATTCCTGGTACTCCGTGAGAGATTGGGAATTCCAGGTCATCGATGAAGAGGTAATGATGATGTGTAGCATCCGGGGTAACAAGCAAAATAATGTCGCTAATTGCTCCCAACACTAATCGGTAAGAAGCAAGCGTAACCGCGGTATAAACGAAAGGTACGTTTTTCTTCATGAGATCAGTGAGAGGTGACAACATTAAAGTTATATGCGGTATATACTGCGACCACCAATTCATATTGGCGCAGAATACTTTAATATCATGTTTGTCCGCCGGTCGTTGAAGAATATTGAGTGCTTTCATGTATGTATGTATTGTGATACGACCTTTGTATGCCTTAATAGTATCTAGTAAAAGACAAAGGTAAGTTTTGGACGCCCTGAGTCGTATACCCGCCATGTAACAAATATGGGCGTATGTTAGTGAATGATCCCAGTGTCGAATGAGTGATCGTATTCCCCAGTGCAACATTGCACCGTCGTCAACGAAGTGTTTCAATACATGACGCAGGTGTCTGAAGGTTTCATCCATGATAGACTGAAGCATGAATGTCATCATCTTGACACCCAAAACCCCTGCAGTAGGGCGCCCGACATCACCTCGAGAGATAATTCAGGTAAGATATTCCCTGGAAGATTATTCAGCGTATTTTAACTGATTGAAACTGCAGGCCATATCCATTGTGGACACGACGTTGCCACAACGGATATGGTCCATGCATTCTTGTTCTGTTGGTAACGGTATGGGTCAATCCAAAAAATTGAGTTGTTGATCTTGTAACTTTGGCAGTATTGAACGTCCTTGATAGTGGTGGTTATAATCCTAAGATTCTTTACGAGCTAGTAATGCGCTCAATATCCAGGGGCTAAGAACCTTTCTTTTTCGATAATACCACGTTGTTATCACGGGAGCAAATCTTTTCGTCCTAATGAATCAAATCATGATTTTTTTTGTGTTATAAACTATGCGATATGGAGTGGGGTTTTTCTCAAGTGGTATTTATATTTCATAGTAATTGTAATTATCTGGGTCATAAACGATACGATTGAATGTATTCCTCAATTCTTGGATTTCTTATGTGTTTTGTTGAGGAGTAGGGCTACACGGTCGACACCAGACTAGTCAGATACCTCTATCTTTCTCGGTGTGTCACGGCATTTGCGATATACCTCAACAATCGCTGTATTATCCACAGCTGCTAGAATTAAAACGCCGACATAAGGGATGGGGACTGTCGAGGAAATTGATGGTGGTTGGACAAAAGCTTGAGGCGGAAGTGAGGGGGGTTGTAAGGCCAATCCCAATATATGTTTAAGAGGTTGCCTCATTATACAAGATAACTCAATAAAGCAATAAACTCGCAGGTACCTCAGTAGTAACTAATAATAATAACTTGGTCGTTTCGAAATATGTTAGTGAACCATTGTTTGTATATATATTTGTATTACAAGAATACTAGTCGTAACTTTTCAGTTGCAGCTTGTAATGTACGTCCACCAAAAGTGTCCATATGCACGGGCTCGATAGCTACCAGATCAATGAACTGTTGCTCAACAAGAGTTCTATTTATAAGGTTTGGTATAGCGCCGTCATCGGCGTAGCACATCACATTTGTTTCTTTTGAATAAGCGGTAATCACCGGCCCCTTCTTGATTTCAGGCTTGGTCTGCCGTAAGGGTATTGACTGAACCCTCAATTTGAGGACTGTCGCGAATGACTTGGCCGAGTTCATTGCATCCATAGGGATAATAATATTTATTTCAAAAGAGATAAGTTACAAGTGGAATTGACAAGGGGGTTTAGTAGAGCATCCATGCTGCGGGCAAGAACTTTTGGCGCTCGTTCATGTGTGCAGTGAGCCTCTCGCTTGGTACGAGGATAGTGGATTAAAGCTGCTTTCGTAGAGTCGGAATAATGTTTGGAGCGTGGGTCGATAGTTTCATCAAACTGGCATTTCCACGAAAGTGTTTCATGTCGTTTCACCTGGGCAACAGCGTCACTAGGAACACAAAGGCGGACGAAACTGGTGGAACTCCCGTGGCGATTTGGTTGAGAAATCGGTTTGGACGGGAGATGCCAAAGGAAGTGATAGCGATCGAGGAGCGGTTGGGCGTGCCAGTAATTTTAAAATTCTGATTGGGATGGAGGCTTGCCGTCACGAAAAATTGCCCGAACGAAGAGCCATACCGGAGTTATGTCATCCATTTCGTGGAGAGTTTTGTCCGGCATCGGGCGGCCCATCACTTTCGTCAAAAGGTGTGTGGGTACTGGCGGCTGCAGTAGGGGCTGAGAAGCTGGTGCGGTCGGACGTTTTTTGGGGCTCGGTTTTGCGGGTTTCTCCACTTTTGAGCAGTAGCTGGAAGGCTCACTGCTGCTATTGGGTGCATTTTCTTTTAACTGGCGGGGCAGGCGGGCTTGTGGAGCCGATTCGGATGGTGTGGGGTGCAGGCTTGGGAACTCATAAATATGAGCACAATATGTAAACTTC